CCCCCCCCCCCCCCGAAAAAACCTTGTTTTTAAAGGAAGGAGAAAAAAGGGTGGAACAAGTAGGGAAGGCTGCGGGGCGGTAGAGGCGGTAGAGGCGGTGGTGGTGTTAAAGCGGGTAGGGGGTGGAAGGGGTGGAAGGGGTGGAAGGGGTGGAAGGGGAGAGAGGGTGGAAATGGTAGAGGGCTGTGCAGGCATCAAAGCGAGCGTAAGCGAGCGTTTGATGCTTGTGGTAAATTCTAATATAGAATATGCACTTCATGCCACACGGAACTACAGTTGTTCCGCCGCCAGGAACGGATCATCAAGAAATTATTTGAGAGGAAGAAGGATTTTTTCTCCTCTCCTTTACACAGTATGTTTTATCTCAGGAAGGATGGGTACTACGCACTTTGTGCTCCGTTAGTCACGGAATGTTTTTATCAAGTGGTCCTTGACCTGCTTCGCTAGCTATTCTCCTTCTGTGAAGGGATCGAATTTGGTTTTACAGGCGGTGGAGTTGACACTTTTGTGTCATGGCTGGACTGGTGTTGTCGCGCCGAGGTGGCTGTGTTTAGATTTGCATGCCGATTTCTATGGCGGTTGCCGTGTTGACACTCCGGGTGTGTTTCTGGTGGAAACACATTTCTCGAGGTCTTGAGGAATCTTGATGCTCTTGACCTGCCACCCTTGGTTGACGTTGTGGAAGAGATTGAGGTAGGTTTGTTTTTTCTTGCATGGTTGGTGTTGATGGAGATGGAGATCCTGACTATTGTGCAGCTCTTGTGGAGTTATCGAATCGATTTTGGATGCCCTGGCCAGTCACACCGAGTGATATTGAGCCTGTTACGCGCGGGTGATCACGTTCACTGTGGTTGATCGACTGATGATGACGGAATTTGTTGTGCCCGAGGAGCAGGCACTGAGGGCCAAGCTTGCGGTTGCTTTCGGGGTGTCGGTTGCACCGTTGGACGAGTGCCTGCTGGATGTTTTGGTGCGCTATGCCGGTGAGACTGTGATGGTCGACGAGATCGAGGACCTGTTTGTTGATGCCGTGAGACTGGTTATGCTTGGCCGGAGGTGTTCTCTGATCCTGAGGGGGCGGTCGTTGGATGGTACCCAGTGTTGACGGAGGAGATGTACGTGGCTTTTTTTCCCGGTGAGCTTCGGGTATTGGCGGAGGAGGCATGGGCCATGCTGTATCTGTCGGAGGATTGAACAGCATGTCTGAGTGTTTGATGGATGGCACCATCTCATGCGAGGATAGCAGACCTGCACCCGCGCTGGGTGGGAGACCCTCAGAAGGGAGACACTCAGAAGGCATGAACCTTAAAGAAAGCAAAATACCCCATTAAATCCTGAGTGCAATAAAGCAAATTTGTCCAGCAAAACCAGTCTCCGCTACATTAATTCCCCATTGAGTATTTGCCATTTTCTATATTACCCGCCAGCCTCAATTCGAGCACCATGGAATACACCATTCCAGCCAAATCGTCTACTCTTCAAAGCGATGCCCCCACTCCACCGCCCGGTCCCGCCCAAACCTCCCTTGGCAATACCGGCGCAAGGCAGTTTTGGCTGCATTATCCCGGTTCTCATTTCGTTTCTTCTTTGCGGCATCGGCCGATGAACTGAGCAGCGCCATATTTTTGGGGGTAGTTTTGACTCCATCCTTTGCCTCTTCGATTTTTGGTTCTTCGTCGTCGTGCAGTTTATTTATATCTTTATTGTCATCCATCCTGCTATATAACCACCGTGTCTGCGTTGTTCGCTTGTTCTGGGATCTATCTGGTTCAGTTTCAGCTAGATTGTCCTATGTTCTCTTTTGGGAGGAATGGGAGGGGATTAATATATAAAACTATGCAGACACGCCTAGAGAAACTGTTCACCTACTTCACCAGAAGGATTTGGTTCTTGTTTCGGTTTGAACTAACGGATATAGGAAGACTCCGATAAGATGACTTGGAGGGGAAAGCAGTGCGGGGTTTGCATGGCTGAATTGATGGATGCCTTGGCGCTTTGGGCCCCATTGTCAAGGCTGCATGGATTTACTGTCCCGACAACCCGCTGTGAAGCCACGCCTGCAAGATCCCAGACAACACCAGCGCCCGTCGAACCCACCGCCGGCCCGCGCCGGGCAGCAACCCCAAGGCCCCACCACACCAGCTACACCCGTGATTTCGGTTCTTGGTGTTGACTAATATCTTATTGAGAGTTTCCGCCTTAGGCTGCTCAAAACGTCGTTGCCTGTATGATAGTCTCGCGTGTATATTAGACTGGACATTGGCTGTAATCAGAAAAAATAACCAAGAGATGGAGATTGCAATAGAACTCAAGACGCTCCGAGAAAATTAGGACCTTCCTTACACCAGAAGCCGAGTGCATCTAATATGTAGAATGCAAGTTGGTTGAAACTGCCTCAAGACGACTGCAGTACGTCTTCGATGTTCTGCCTCAATGGCCGCCGCAGGTATCTTAAGGTAGAGGAGGAGATTCCTCTAGTTCGCGTAGGACGGCCTCTTCAGCAACATCCGCAGCAGGCTCCTCCAATGGATCATTGGCATCCTCCAGCGGTTCGATATCAGCATCATCAGGAGGATTGTCTGGAGTAAGTCGCGCCTCTTGACAGGGTCTATCATCTGGAGGTGGAAAAGGAGGTCCGTGTGGGTCAGCTGGAATGTGGTCTCCGGCATATTTAGCATGTAGCCGCTCAGCGATGGCTTCTTTGGTTGAATCGTCCGGGGTAAGCTACGCTTGATGAGATGGTTCTTTCTCTTTGCTTCCCTGAACCCACCAAGGAAGGTCATCCGATGCAGGCAGCTCTTCCTTGACGAGTGTCTTTGGGAGACTGGTAGGTTCCTCACCAGTCTGCCGGTCCCTTGCGACTGTGCTGCTTGGCTGGTTCGTTCATCTGCCGTAAAATTGAGCGCCCGGCACTCAGTATTCAACTGTCACCCTGAATAGCATCCTGCTGAAAGAGCCCTTCACGTGCTTCAGAATATCTCGATGAATAAACATATTCCCATCATCCTCAAACATGCTCTGAAGCATTGCCCTGATGTGACCATCGAACCATAACCTATGCTTTGGGCACAGTTCCTTATATTCCTTACTTCCAACGTCCAGGGCTACCAGCAACGACACTGACTTGCAAGTCTTCTCCATAACTTCCATTGCAAGCGCCACCAGAGGAGATAACTCATATTTGCTTGCGAAACTAAACACGGCAACACTCCTTCTATACTTGTTTTCCATTTCCACATTCTTGGACTCTGGCACGGATAGTCGAAGTGTCTTGTACTCGCCGATGTAGAGAAAATGTACCATAGTGTGAGCAATGTTCTCATCTAAGTCGACAAATCGGACGACATGGTCATGCACAGTTCTCGGGGGATCAGACAGTGATGATGGCCCGATTTTGGATAACAAACAAGGGTGGTCCTTCAGGAAATAGTAGGGTACTGTATATGACTCTGCGTTTCTCCCAGCAAGAAGATAGCAACAGCGATCCCGATATGGTCTAGTACTTGAAATTAGCAAGTAATGCAGTGGCGGAAAGCTGCTCAAAGGACAAGAAGGAACTTACAAAACCTCAGGTAAAGCACTGTAGCTATTACTTTCATTCATACTGGCAGAGTTTGAAGCTTTGTGAAGCCGTTCTTTCTTGCCTTTCTTTTTTCCCATCGCAGAGTTGGCACGGAGTATCGAAAACCAAACAGCGAGGAACTGGAGAAGACGGAGAAGATGCGCATCTTTAAAATAAAGTGAAAGAGAAGGGAAACCAGACTTCTCAGTTGAACTCGGTGATTAGATTCAGACGCTCGAAGGCGGGTTAACCGTTCGGAGGAAACGAGAGAAGCTTAGTTGAAAAGGGGAATTGGATTTACAGGGAGGCCACCACGAACTAAAGGCTCAAAACGTGACAGGTACACCAGCGCCCAATACTCTTTCTGATATTTGGGTGGGAATGTGGACCGGAATAAGTTTCCATAATCTGGCATCTTGCTCTTCCCGGGGAGGTCCATACGCATCCGGAGTATGTCCCAATACTCTGGCATCCAGCCTGCCCACTCCCAATCGATAATGGCGGTTATTTGTCCGCTCTTATTGACCATAATGTTCCTGGGGCTTAGGTCGCCGTGAGCAAAATGGATTATATGATTGTCAACCGGAAGTAGATGAGGGCCTTGGGTACCCTGGGTGTAGTGAGCCAGAAAATCATTGAACTCCTTTTCTGTCTCAAACGGGCCCCCCCAGCGTGAATGATACCCACCAACTCGGACAGAGGTGTCATTCACCCCCTTGATTCGTTTTCCCGTCAGCTGTTGAAGCTCCGAGAGATATTGGGCAATCTGGTGCAAGGCGGAGACCCTCTGATCTGGAGAGAGCTTTATCCAAGCATCTTCCAGTGATTCGCCTGGTACATATTCCATCACAATGTAAGAAAGCTCGCCCTCCCCATCCAACTTTGTGCCATAGACTTTGGGCACAGGAATAGTGGTGTTGGCGGCGATAAATTTCATAGTGTCACTTTCTCGCAAACCCCCACGCGATTTCTTCAAGACCCGGTGCTCGTCCAGACGGAAGACCTCGTATCTGCCAAACATATCATGCCCAAGGCCCTGACCGTAGCCGGCTATTGACTCGAATTAGTGCATTGTGAATGATAAGAACGAAAGGAGCAAGCAGCACACCTTTGGGAGTAAATGGACCCATCGTAAGTGGAGCAATTAGAGAAAGGGAGGAAACGAAGATGGAATGGAATGGAGGCCGGCGACCCGAGTGAGGAGGATGACGTCGGCTCCCCTACTCACTCAGGAGGGAATTTGAGTGTTGTTGCCTCCTAGGTGGTCATGAGATCACCTAGCTTCTTGGCGGCGGTCCGCCCCATCATTCCGCACTCACGGCTCTTTTGCTCCATCGCAGTGAAACTAACCGTCTTGCGTGTTGAAGCAGAGACCATTGCACCCCATCATTTGGCTATCTCTCAACCTGGTTCAACGACTCATCCTGTTAAAACACCGCCCCTCCGGGTTTCCCCAAGTAACGTATGCCGGCTCTTGGGGGTGGGCACCGACGGCCACTTCCGCTTCCAAGCCTACCCCGTACTTGTACTCCATCACCCCTTCCCACCAACACAAGTCTGGGCCCCGAAGACGTGGAAGCCCTTGATTGGTGGACCCGCAAGTGCCCGACCAAACTGTCGGGAAATAAGAGGTCATACACTAAGGGCCTGTTCGGTGCGTCCGTACTTTTTGAACGCAATAGTGGATCTCATTAAAAATAGCATATTTATCAATTATTTAGTAGCAAGCCGGCGTTGCGCCATCACACTATTTCATAATTGAGATCACTTCACACTGGCTTTTTTTTTAATTTCACATTCATCAATGTGTCTGCATTGAAATCATATTCTCTCAAATCTATGGTTGATTTGTCTATATTTAACTGTCTTTATTAGCTAGAATTCATGAAAGCAGTGAACAAGAATGTCACAGTATGATATCTCAATGCAATATCTGAATATGAAGAATGATAATACTTAAATCTCTACAATTTCAATCTCACTGAGTCAATGATCAGATTCTTAATTATTATTATTCTCTCAAACATTCTCTCAAACATGCTCTGAAACACTCTCTTATTAAACATCTACTATCTCTTGAAAGTGAATACTTGCTTCTCAAATCAGATGTCTCAGAATATCATGAAGTCTTATAATAAAAAAGGCCCTGCTTACTGAACTCTTGAAGATGAAAAAGAAAGAATTGAATACTGATAATAATAACTTCAAATCTGTGAATTGAAATCTTATTATATACACTGTCAAGCAGTTAACAAGTCAGATAATAATCAAAGAAGTATATAATAATCAGTGAAGAAAGATTAAATGAATTTAAATACTTTGAATAAGATATAAAAATCAGATATCTGACTAAATATATAATTATAAGTATGAAATCTATATCAATGATAAAGAGATTATAAATAAGTATTTCTTCAAATATTCTGATCTTAAAATCTTTCAAGAATATAATTCTGAATTTCAAGAACTTATCAGAGAATTGCTTAATAACAGACTTATCACTGACTGATTTGTAATTGAAAATTATATAATAATATCTGAAATGAGAGAATCTTCTGTAATAAATTTAGAAACTGAAGAAAGTTTATCATCTTCTGTAATAAACTTATCAGTCTTCAGAAGTATCAATCATATAAAAAAATACTTAAAACTAGAGAATATTGATGAGAATATTCAAAATCTGACTGCAGCTGTAAATAGTCTCAGTCAGATTAATATACAGATTGAAGTTAAAAGAGAAACTGAGTGAGTCATTAAGCTATTCATAAGTGAGATACAGAATCTACTGTCAGAAGATTGAAAGATTGACAGTGAGATTTCTTATCAATAATATACTATAATTTCACACTGTTTTCTTAACATTTAAGAAGCTCAGCTGTATCTAGATTTAAAATATAACTTAATCAGTGTTCAGTGAGATCATATTATACAGATATTGAATAAGATGTCACAGTCACAGTAAGAGTAGTAGAAGAAATAATGAGAAAAGTAGTGATAAGAGTAGTAATAAGAGTAGTGATAAGAGCAGTAGTAATAATACTTTTAAATCATTCTTTTTATATCTTATTCCTTTTAAAATAATCAAGAATATGACTGAATTTTACTCAATATTACAATAATGATGAATTACACTTATAAACATGTGTTTTAAAACATCACAACTTTTTGTATGAGATAATTAGATGATTTAGAGTATTTTATTAGCTTATAAATTATAATATGATATTATATACAATGAATACATCAATATATTATCATTTCATATTTTTGAAAGTGAAATTATATGTAGAATTCAACTATTTTTATTAAGATATATATAAGCAATCTTGATTCATGTATTAATTACATGTGACTTGCTGATTAATCTTTCATATTTTTAATATATCTCTTATAGAACTCTTACATTTTCTCTGCAATTTAATCTCTTCTTCTAATTATCTCATCACTATTCTCTCTTTCATTTATTATATTTGACTGTTCTGACTTTATTTCATTATTCAAATCCTCTGAATTAATATCATCTAGGTCTTCATACTTATTTATGAAGTTATGAAGTGCTGTTAACACAAAAACAAGATTGATTTAAGTAATAATGAAGAATTCATCTCTTTCTTGATTATATATTTGAAATCATTATTTAAATACTTTAAAAACTCACTTGATTACACTTTACAAACTGATATGCTGAAGATTGAATAATTTCTTCTTATTAACAGATTATTTATCTGTCTTTTCAAACTTCTTAAGATGATATTGTATATCAGAATAAGAAATCAATATTATAAAGACTCTTTTTGAATAATCAGTATTTATAAGAAAATAGCAGAACTTCTTCACTGAAAAGTTATCATACTCTTAAGCCACATTAAAAACATATATATCATGAGCAGAATCTTTCATTTCTGAGTATATATACACAAAGTTCATCTCAAAATCATATACTGTTAGAATGTTCTGTGAGATCTATTCTTTTCAATTTTATCAGTCAGATTACTGATTAGAAGAAATGAATATTGAAAGATAAGTATCATCTAATACTTCAATACAATCTCTAAAGAATAATCATTACTTAGAATTACTGCTGAGTAAGTCTTTACTATATTTCATAGAAGATTTTAACAATTGTATAAGCTAGCTGTAAAGCACATAGAGTGCTTTCAACATCTTATGAAATACTCTATATAAAATAAGTAAGTATTTTTAAAACAATAAAAGTCATATTATAATTATATAAGAAGCTAATTCTTACTTTGAAACTGTATTAAGTGAATACTCAAACCTTTTTACAGTATCTTGATATGAAGATTCTTGTATAATAATATAGAGAAATATCATTGCTTTCTCTTCTATCTTTATTACATCTGTAACACCAGATTCAGAGATAGTTGTATACTTTTTAAGAAGAATAATGAATTGAATGAATGTTTCTCAATGAAGATATGTGATATTCTTAATATAATTAGAGTAAGTATTTGTATTCAGCAGCTGAGTAGTATATAGAGTATTATTAAAAGATCTTTCATATAATATTCTTTTCTACAATATCAAAGAGATTCTTATTATCAGATTTATCATGACTATTTTAATAAACAGTTATTAATAAGAACTGATATACTGTTGAATTATAATTTATAGAATCTGCTTATTCATCTTGTTATTATTCTGCTATTGACTATTTTTCATACTGATAATCTTTACTGATAATATTCTTCTGTAGAATGAAGAAAGAAGAAGCTTATAAAACACATTCTTTTTAAATAAAGTTCAGAGTCTGTTTAAAAAGAATATGTTTTTATAAGCTTCTTTCTAACTAATATTAGTTAACTGTCTTCACTATGAACACTATTCTACACTATATTATCTCTAAAAGTGCTATTCTACATCATCACATGCTGTTGAAGTTAAATATGACTTATTCATAAGATCTTGATAAAAGATGCAAGTACAGCTGCTCAATTCACTGAACATCTGATCTTTTTCATCTGTACTTTGTAAAAAGCAGCTGTACTATTAGTACAGATACTCTGCTCACTGAACAGTCATGATATTAGGGCTGTACTTTTTAAAAAAAGTGGAGATCTGTACAAAAAGAACGAGTACACACGGACGCACCGAACAGGCTCTAATGACAGTCACCACCAGCGCACTGCTGGTAGACCGGGACTCTCAACAGAACGCCATCAACATCATATATTAACGTGACTCATCACTCAACGAACTACTATTTTTTCCATGCATCCCTGCAACTTCAACCACTCACCATGCCACTCAATGAAGTGATTGTAGAGCAAGCGATCACTCAATCGAATCAACAATTGATTTCTAAATATGCTGAGATTGCAAAGGAATTCAGAATCAATCACATTATCTTAATACAGTGATTCAAAGATCAACAGATCTTTATTCTTCTTCTTCTTCTTCTTCTTCTTTCATTATACTCACAAGCATCAAATGCTCGCTTACGCTCGCTTTTCTGCTTGCGCAGCCCTCTCTATCACTTTCACTCTTTCTCTCAATCACTCTCTACTCTCTCTTTACCACCTCTTTCACCCCTTACTCTCTACTCTCTCTATCATTATCATCATCTCTACTACCTCTATCATCTCTGTGGCGGGCTGCGCCCGATCAACCATATAGACTATTCCATTACACTCCATAGATTCTTCCATTCCCGATCGCCGATCCGCGGCCGCTACGAACGCGCGTAGTGTATGCTCCGATTCTCGGCCACTCCCGATCGCCGATCCGCGGCCGCTATGAACGCGCGTAGTGTACACTCTGATTCTCAGCCATTCCCAATCACTGATCCTCGGCTGCTATGAACACGTGTATATTCTTCCACCCCGAAGCTTCACCACATACACCACCACATACATGTATAAATATTCATCTCAATTGCTGATTCTTGCACTTTCTCTTTCTTTTCTTCTCTAATGTTTTTATCTTTGTTATATAAGACCTATTAATATAATACTGATCTATTCAGTGTAGGCCTCTTACACTATAAAAATGTTCATTGTCTTCTTATTAGGAAACAATTATTCATGTATTATCTTCTCATCAGAAACAATTATCTATTGAGAGATATTCAAATGTGTAATAATGTGTAAGAAATAGTCACACAGTTAAG